AAAAATGTCAGACAAAACCAATGTTTTTAGTTAGCCTTACTTCATAAAGGGTAGACAGAATTCAAGTAATACCATATTCTGTGTCAGATCTAGGTCCTAGTGCAGTATCCCACAATCCTATGCTACCTAAGTCAATAGTCATTTTCAATACACATCCAAGGAAGATTAATCACCCTTTCACTTACCTTGTAAACATTTTCCCTAGACTTTAAATGACAATGTGGGATGGCTCTTTATATAAGAATTGAACTACAGCATGTTATGATTGGAAAAGTGGAACTCAAGAGGTCGAACTTGCATGGTTTAAAACTTACAATTAAGGATTTCAAGGTAGTAAGTTTTTAATTGGTAATTATTATAGACCACCTGATCAAACAGATGATGTCAATGTGAAATTGTATAACATCAGGGTTGTTAATAATAAAAATACCAATGCAATAATTATGGAAGACTTTAATTTTGAGCACAATGATTGGGACTGTATGGAGTAAAACAATAATTATTATTAACTTCCAATCAGAGCAAGTTATCTACTTAAATCAAAACTAAAAATCAATCTAGTAATGAACCTAACTAATAAGGTGTAGTCTTCTTATGTTCTTACTTATGAAGAATAGGATGTATTGTTAGATACCCTTACTATTAACATTATTTTTGGTCATAAGTCCAATATTATCTCTCACCGTTTGGTCGGTTTAAGCAGGCTTCTTTAAGTGATTCAAAATGTTTTTTTTTAATACCAAATGGTCAGATAGCCAATCAGAGTGAATGCCAATTTATATCTATAGTTAACCACTCACAATGATGTGGCTTTAGGCAGTGGTGGTAATAAAGACAAGGGTAAAAAAGACAACAGAAAAAAAGGACACGTGAAAAAAAACAAAGAAAATTACACAAACAGGTAAACAGTCAATAAAGAAAATAAGTCCTATATTTTGGGAATGGTATAAAGTGACAAATTCCAAATAAGCATTTTACTTTTTTTATTATCACATACATGAGTAAACCCTGTATGACAAAAAAAATTACAGAAACAGGTAAAAAAGTAAAAAAAGACCA